CTGGAAACTGGAATGCACTACCGGACGTCACTGGAATGCACTACCGGAAGTATAGGGTGATAAATAAATAAATCGGCAGTTGCTGCTACTGGTCGCAAGGGGTTTAACCCGTTGTGTACCGTGGAAGAAACCAGCACTTTAGTGGGGATATGCTACAAAGCAACGAAAAATGGTCGGCAGCATGTAACGCAATAGCAGGCGTTCTGAAGGGGCTAAAGACTTCCTTTCTGCCTCACGATGTAGTGCTTGACATCATTCCAGTGGGGTGCAGAGTTCTAAGAAATAACATGTTTTTCCTTGTTTTATAGCTACATTTTAAGCAGAAAATGTAAAAGTATGGCATCACCATTCGTGTTGCCAAAATGTTTACACAAGGTGTCTTCACACTGAGCTTGACACTCGGTATATTGGTGTGCGTTAAATTTTCCCCAGGTATTTTGTTCGTGTAAAATTATTTTATTATCGGTTTACCGATTGCTGAATTATCGTGGTAGAACCTCATTAACGAAAAAAAATGCACACACTATTTTTGGTTTTGGTAGAAACTGAAATCAGCAGTTCGAAATTTATTGAATAGGTTTTTTTCCTAATGATCCGGACTGGATCCGGAGAATAAACGAAAAGTTGGCTCTCAAAAATGGAGCAAAGTCCAGAAGTACTGGAACACAAAAAAACCACATTTCGTACCCAGAATTTCAGAAACAGCTGATTTACGTTTGTTTTTGTTTTTGTCACTTATACACTTGTAAATTGAGTTTTGGTTTCCTAAATTTGATATTCTGCCTTATCGTGAGTTTCGCCTGAACAAAAAAATTTACCCGAAAATCTGTCATCCGCCCATAGTAAAACCATGGAAACCAAAAGTGAAAAGCAGGGTCGATGTGTCTTCTTCAATTAGACGATACTGCACTGTGTGGTGTAGGATGAACGCTAGTCCCCCACCATTGTCTCGCTCACGATCTTTAAGCTGTCTTTACATGGGTAGACTTCTGTCGGCTAGAAAATCGACCAGCCAAAACATTTTCATTTGATGGTTGAATTTCCATTTATACTGGTGATTTTGTTTGAAGGACAAAAATTGACCCGTGTTAAGGTAGCTTAAAGATCACAAGAGATTTGGTGCGGACTCTAGAGTGATGTGGGTCGTGGGGCGACGAGAATTTTTGTTCTTATTTGCTTTTATTTGTACACCATAGCAAATTTTTCCACCACGTCTCATCACGGAGGAAAAAGTTACCGATTGGCACAGGCCCTATGGTATTGTTTTTTTTACCTCGTCTCACCACGAAGAAAAATGTTACGGTGCCTATGTAAATAATTGTGGAAATTCTGGCATATTTCACGGGGTAATATTTTGTTACCAGCTTATGAGATGGTAACAAAATTTATCGGCTACAAGAGTACACAGAATACGCAAGGGGTTTAAAAATTTAAAGGAACTTTATTTGCTGCTTACAAAATTTGTATTACTACCGCAGAACAGACCTGTAATTGTGTTGTTTGCGTATCGCATTGAAAGTACTCGCGATGTGTAGACCTACTGCGTGGTGTATTTGCCTTTATGCTTGAAATACAATACCGGCGAACAGCAAACTTCGCCGAATTGGGCGTTGCTGTCGTTCACCGTTCGCCTACTTAAACAGAATTAGAGCGGTCGCCTTTATAATTTAGGTGACAATATTTAGGAAAAACTAAACCATATTTCGAAATGAGGAAATGATGTCAAATATAAATGTAAAACAAAGAGAGATTATTATAAATTATTTAGTTTCAAGCCAGATGTAGCAAATCTATAACTATATTTTTCAAACAATAAAAATAATTCGTGTTTATGTTGTTTTCTTTTAAAACTTTGAAAGCAAAAAAGGAATACGGCCACCTTTGGCACTCACAGCAGTCATCGCCCAGTAGGGCGATAGAAATCCATCGTCACGAAACGCCGACGAGCGAATAAAGGCCTGCTCAAACAGGCGCGGTGCGGCACGGTGCGGTATAATCCCGTACGATATGGGGTATCAAATACCATGGCGGTATATGGGAGCACTCAAACAGACGCGGTATTGGAAGTGCGGTACACCGCGGTACAGAACTCTACCGCAGCATGCAGCGTTCACCGCGCGGTATAAGAAGATATATCGTAAGCAGAGTTGTAATTTAGAGCTAGAGTTCTACCACATATTCTATCTACAAAAGTGCTACAGATTATAAATTCTACCTTTTTCAGTATAAAAAACGTGAGTTTAAAAGTGCTCGTAATACATTTGTTGGCATAAATGTGATATTCTTTGGTTTTATTTCTCACAAAGTAAATAAAATAAAGTTGAATGTTTTTCAAATCTGGCAATGTTGCTCAGAAATATGAACGGTAAATTTACTGGAATTTACAATTCTTTCGCAAAAGGTACATAATGGAGCGCAGATATGGAAATATTTATAAAATCTTTCTTCGTGGTTACGCAGTTGGGGCATCAGGCTGGAAAATTCACCACCTTCTTTTCTTCTCAAATTTATTTCGTGAACCCATCTTCTTTTTCTTAAACATATACATAAATTAAGAACTTTGCAGGATAAAACAAAGATGTAGGCATATTCATACCTTCTGTTTTCTTCGTCGAGAAATGCTGCTAATAGCAATAATTCGTACCCAGAGCTTGAGCTGTCCATCGCGAAAATCAGATTTATAATATTGTTACGATTATCCTTGAAACCTGGTCCGGATTTCCCAAATCTCTCGGTTCGTATCGCTGGATTGTTAAATAAATGCAATCGATGACCAAATGGTAGTACAATTAACTTTATTGTACAACAAACAATTTACAATACTCGCTAATACAGTAAAAACACTTTACAATACTTGTTAAAGCAATAACAGTGCTTAACTAAACTTGATAACGCAATTAAACTTATATCTTGCTTAATCGCAACTCACTTCACTTGCAGCTTGCTGTCTTGTAACTCACCTCGCTGTGGCAGCGCCCTTATATACCTGCGCTGGCACTCATGGCAACTCTAGAACATTCTGAAGTTTATCGCTCATTCTCTTTCTCTCGCTGTTCGCAGTGTTCATCCCACTTGACGTTTCTCTTTGTGGAACATTCTACGTCATTCCTCGAACATTCTGCCTATTTCTCCTGTTCGCTTTGTGTTGCCGCAGTATTCGCCACAATATATGTATAAATTTAGAAGGAGGAATGCGTAGAGTGCCGTCACATGGCAACAATGTTTCGTGCTATACCGCACCGCGCCTGTTTGAGTGCCTTTGCGTATATCGTTACCGCGTATGGTACGGGATTATACCGCGCTGTACCGCACCGCGCCTGTTTGAGTAGGCCTTAAAGGCCCGTTTACATACAACTTTGGCGTTGCGTTGGCGTTGGCGTTGGTTTGACAGAACGCACGTTAAAAGTATGCTTGCTACAATGAACGCTTGGCGGCGAATCCTTGGGCCACTAAATTAACATATTAACGACAGATAAATTAATATTTCATATCAATAATTGCATTAAAAACGATATTTCTTGCCCGCACTTGATTAAAAAGGAAAAATATTTCACATAATTTTATTTATTCGCAACAGCTGACGAGCGACGCACGCGAAAAGTTGAGAGTGGGCCATCTTTTTGCTTTGTGTTGGCGTGAGCGTTGTCGAATTTTGGCTATGTGGACGGCTGCATTTGAATTCATGTATTCATAGTCAGCTGTTGAAGCGACGCCAACGCCAACGCAACGCCAAAGTTCTATGTAAACGGGCCTTTAAGCATTTCGCTTTGGCTGTATTCAATTTCATATGCTTGCGGGTGTTCTAATTTTAACAGCGCGAATTTCGCTGTGGTGTGTTGGCATTGTATCTTAGATATTAGGCGACCAAAAAAAAAAAAAAGAGTAGAACGCAAGCCAGATTTTCAACCAGTAGCTCGTTTCTGTAACAATTCTCTACCAAAGCGAATTGAGATATGAATTCGCCGCCTTGTTCTCTACTGCTAATGACTATTATGGGCTGTTTTTGCTTACGCGTAAAAGCACATTTAGCACATTTAGCTCCAAATGCTACTCTAAATGTACATTTATCCATACAAAATTCGTCACCTAAATGCAACTAAATGCAACTCCATTTTTGCATTAAGAATCTAAATGCTAAAAGCAACCCTGTGATCTTCCAAAATTTCCACGATTCGAACATGGTTTAAAGAGAAAAAGTGGCAACATTGCTTTTTCGAGTATACAGTTGCTAGCTGCGTTTCAGTGATCGCCGATCGAGATTTCTTTTATTTTACATTACATATTTGGATAAAGAAAAGTTAAGCAAATTCAACATCGATTTGATGCTGATAGAAATCTGGATCAATTTGTGATCAACTCTGTTTGGTTTGTTTCCTAATTAAGTGAGGAAATTTTAATTGACAGCACCGACAAATGAATATATACACAAACAAATGTTTGGTTATGGTTAAAACAATTCAAGTTTTTGTAATGAATTTTTGGTTTAAAATTTATTTTTTTCCTTTTCAGTAGGGTTTTTGCACATTTTCTTCTGCGTGAGAATTGATCGTAATATATACGGATCTAAATAAGATACTGGAACACGGCTGTTTGCCAAAAGCATACGATTTCGAACTCGCGTAAATGTACATTTGCTAAATGCTATAGCATGAACGCTCTTCGAAAACATATGTTCGAAAGTGCTAAATGTTGCATTTTAAATGCAGCAAAAACGCTGCATTAGAGAATGACGTATATTCTCGGAGAAATAATCGGTAGAGAAGAGTTGCAGGCTAACCTAATATTCACGCACGCCGCCAATTTATTGTCAAAAATTTCTCATGCACATGCAACTTGTATGAGATCAACCGAAATTGAACGGCGTGCGTATGAAGCTAACTCAAATTCCAATTTTTGTTCTGCGTGACATTTTGATTTGACGTTTCGCTCAATGAAATCAAATGCAAACGCATGCAAGTCAATTTCGGGTGACGCAAAAAAACAAATTCGACGGCATGCGTACCAAAACGCAAGCCGCGAATATTAGGTTAGCCTGTTACAGAAACTGGCTACAGGTGAAGACGGCCAGTTACGTTAACTATCGAGTAAAAATATCGGTATCGATTGGCATCGTTTCAAAAATTGCGTTTCTATTGAAGACCGCGTCAAATATTTTCTCCAACATACATATTCTTATATTTTTTCATATTAAAACAAAACATCCGTTCCATTGTTATATTTATTAGGAATTTATGTTTTAAACTGACTTTCGTTTAAGCAATCCGTCAATTTCGCTGCAACAATACTCTAGACATGCGACCAATACAAAAACCTGGTCCGAAATCAAAAAGCCGGCAAAATCCGCATAAGCAGCCAGTTGCCGATTTGGGCGAAACAAGCACCTCGAGTGAGACCGACACAACCTTTTATTCACCACCAAGAGATGAAAATGTTACAGACTATGGTTTGGACTTTAGCAATACTTCTCGACGCAGCCGTGCACCAACCACGGCAACCCCAAGAGATACTGCAGCATCTTCATCAAGAGAAGTGGCAATGCCACCTACAGCATCTACATCACGGGCACTGACAACAAGACGCAAACAGCAGGTTCCAAATCGAAGAGAACTGCGTAAGCTCTTAAACCGTACTGATTTCATGATACCACGCCTTGCCTTTGGGCGAGTAGTTCGTGAAATTATGGTTAGCTTGGGGTCAGAGGTGCACTGCATAACTCTGGGTGCTTTAGAAGGTCTACAAGCAGCAACAGAAGTGTATATAGAAAATCGGTTTGAAGATGTGAATATGTTAGCAATGCACTGCCGTCGTAAAACCATAATGGTGCGAGATATGGAATTAATTCAATTTTTGATGAGCAAAAATTGTGTAATTTGATAGTTTTCTTGTTTATTTTAATGAAATTAACTTGTAATTTGTATGTTTTTATGTTTGTATACAAATAATGCATGTATATGTATGCATATTTGCAATAAATTTAAGACTGCACAAATCCGTGTGCTAAAATATATATGTATATATAGTCATACTCTTTTTAATACTTAATGTTAGCGAAAAAGATAGGCCCATATTTTAAATGCTCCACATTTGCTCGAAAATGACATGTTGGGGAATATCTTTTGTTATGTAGTTGGCTTTAAAAAGTATTTGGTTGGAGGCAAGATTGCTTAACACTAAAATGCCCGGTGTGTCAGATTTGACACATTTTAATTTTCAATGACAAAGGCTAGATTTTTGCCAGTGGGTTTTATAAATTTGGTGACTTCATTATTCGTTGAGTTGTTGCAGTTCCATACTTTTTAAAAGGTTCTTGGTAGAATGTATTAAAATGCGCCTTCGATAAAAATTTTGAAGTATTATTACCAAAAACAACGGAGTTACATACATGCAGGCCTGTCGAGAGGAAGGGGGGAAGGGGCTTTTAATGGCCCTTAAATATCAGAACTACAACTTTTGTTATTGGCTTTTATTAGAAATATGTATATTCCATCATACGGTAAAGAAAATGATCACATGCCTTTGAATCAATACAATTTATATATAGGGCCCGTGATTTTTCAGTCCCTGCATACATGCCACTTTTTAAAAAGTCCTACCTGTTTTTGATACTCATTTTATAATGTTTTTTGCTTCTCCTGTAAAAGGGTAAATACACGACACCAGCTTTCTGGCACCGTCAAGTGTTTGTACCATCAGGCTCGAAGCATATATAAATGAGGTCCGGAAAAGATCAAAAGGAGTAGGGCAAAAATTTGTTAATTTGCATACCATTTTGTTAAAAATTGGTTTTTTAATTCACAACTGCAACATTGTGAACTTTAATCTTCCACAAACACGGCTTTGACTCATATAGTGCAAGAAATTTAAGCCAAAATAATTTTTACTTAAAAAAATTGCCAATTTCACTATTCAGGGCACCGGTAGTGGATTTCTCACAATCGCTACGCTAAATTTTGTCGCCAAAATTCTCTAAATGAAAAGCAGTAGCCCTAACAGGTCTATTCTGCGCTGGTAATAAACAGTTTGTAACCGGTAAATAAAGTTCCTCCAAATTTTTAAACCCTTTTCGCATTCTGTGTACTCTTGTAACCGGTAAATTTTGTTACCATCTCATAAGCTGGTAACAAATAATTGCCCCGTGAAATATGCAATGCCAGGATTTGCCCAATTCTTCATAGCTGAATTGCTGAATATTTTAGCTGCATTACCAAAGTGCCTAGAATCGCGGTGACAACAACTGGTTACATTTTTTGGTAATACAATTTTCCGGTTACAAAATCTTCGGTAACATGCAGAGAGACCTGTAATGGTAAAGTAATAACTGTAATGTGTAATCAGCCAAATCTGGCAGTATGAGGGGCATGTAACTAGATGTTGCGTGTTGTTAGGCGTACCTGCTATTCTTTTGGAGATTTTTGGCGATCAAAATTAGCTATAGCAAATGCTGGAATCCTGCTGCTGCATGCTGGTACAATCATAAAAATATCAACTCGTTTTTGATGTCACACAAGCAGCTGGTACGAGAACATACACGATCAATCGGCTGTCACCAACACTTGATGGCGCCAGCATGCTGGTATCATGTATGGGCCCTTTAAAAAAATAAACAAATGTTGGTTAGGGCCTTAGTGAATTAAGGTGACGATATGTATATCTTAAACTCCCTACATCCCAATTTTAGCGAGACCTTTTCAAACCATAGACGAAGGGTCTAGGATGTCCGATAAGATTTGGACAAACAGATGCCGCATTATCCACAATGTTTGTTGGCTAGCGAAATATGTATGTACGTTGCAATTAGCTGCTCTGCGAAATGTGGCTTTGCCATCCAGCGAAGGGTAGAGACAATGTTGCGCTAATTATAAAACGTATACTCCACATTATATGAGGACATAAATGGCACTACGTTAATTTTTTTAAATAAACTTTCAAGGGCTTGAATTTCATACAAATTTGGCAGAATCTAACAAAGAATAAGTACGTGCATAGGTATACATTTAATAAAACAATCTAATTTTATTTCAAACTTAAGAAATAAACACTTTTCAATGTGATAATTTAGTACCTACAGCCAAATTCACGAAAGCCATTTAATTGCAAAATTATTTGAATTTTTAAAATTTTATATGGATATTGACAGAAAATAAATCATTTTCCATTTTTTTAAATGGAATCACAATTCAATTGGCATTTGAGGTTCTGATTTGATAAGCGTATAACCAAATTGAATCATAAATAAATTAAATAATTATGTGAATTGTACTTTTTTTGAAGATACATAAACCTATGGAAAAATAATAGTAACGCCACATTTTTACAAGTTTTCTTCTGTTTGTTTAATGTTTATTAATTTTATATAAATGTAAATTTCAAACTTTATGCAAAAATTTGAAAAATTTAACAGTTTCATAAAAAATGCAAACTTTCTGTGCAGGTTTTATTTTTATAGCCCATGTTACAATAATTACAGGTATTGGGCCGTATGAATAAAAATAAGCAATTGCTTTTTCTTAAAATTTCAGATCTTTCACTCAATTTATTCAAACAAAATTGAAGTAAAAGGTATGAAATTTTAAGAAAAAGCAATTGCTTAGTTTTTATTCATACGGCCCATTGTCTTCCCAGTGAGCGCATATTCCGATCCGCCTTATTTGAAAAATATCATTGTTGCCCACACTAAGAGGTTTACTGTAATGGAAACGGGATATTTCTATTCACCATGTCCATTGGGGTGGTCCAAAGTAAGTAAAGTCGGCATTTTAATGTTCTCACCCCCTAGGATTGTTCTATATCTAAAAAGTATACCCCTATTTTTTCATTTTGAAATCAAAAAGTGTTTAGAGGTCGCTCAAAGCGCTCAAAGTTTTTCATGTATTTTGTATGGGGAAAAAACAACTTTTTGTAGAAATGGTATGCAAGTCTTGAAAATCAATATTTTTCGATCGGAAAACTCTGGTTCTCTTCAAGAGACTTCCAATAACAATATCCAATTATTTATTTAACCATTTTTTAATAATGAAGTTTTTTTATTTATCCCCCCATTGCATATTCTGGCATTTTCTAGTGGTTTTGGGGGACCTATAAAATGTAGTTACTAAGAAAAAGTTGTTAAAAGAATAATTGGCTATTATTATTGGGAATCTGTTGACGAGAAACACAGTCTTCCGATCGAAAAGTATTGATGTTCAAGAATTCCATACCATTTCCACGAAAAGTTCTTTTTTTCCCATACAAAATACATGGAAAACTTTGAGCGCTTTGAACGATCTCTAAATATTTTTTGATTAAAAAAAAAAAATATGGGTATACTTTTTTTAGATATAGAACAATCCTAGGGGGTGAGAACATTAAAATGCCGACTTTACTTATTTTGGACCACCCCAATGGACATGGTGAAAAGAAATATCCCGTTTCCATTACAGTAAACCTCTAAGTGTGGGTAACAATGATAGTTTTCAAATAAGGCAGATCGGAATATGCACTCACTGGGAAGACAATACCTGTAATTTTTGTAAAAAAGTATTTCGATATAGAACAATCCTAGGGGTGAGGGCATAAAAATTCCGACTTTACTTTTTTTAAATGCATTTTTGAACCACCCTAATGTCAATGTAATTTTTTTAAACATACCTTCTTGCAGAGAACTTATTTAATTAAAAAAAAAAAAAAAAATATTTGCTTAGTTAATAAAACGTCGCTCGAATAAAGAAACAGTGTAAATGCCACATACACTATTATTCGATAATTGCACCATTGGATAGACAATCCTTTAATCTATTAGAAAAATCTTTAGTTTTCTTAAATATCTCTTTGGCTCACTAATTTATTCCCGAAAAACGAAATTGTATTTGTATGGTCTGTAATGGTTTATAAAAACTTCCAATTCGTTTTTCCCAAAACTATACTTTTCATGTTACACTATTTCATTATTCCAGCGACGAAAACAAACATTTTTATTGCTCAATTTATTTCAAACGCTTTTTCTTTTCTTGAAAAATTATAAAAATTTAATTGAGCGATTGATTTTCCATACAAAAAATTTTCGAACAAACTCGTACTTTTTAGCAACCTCAAACTTGCACTTTATTATACTAGAATTTAATAGGCTACAAATGAAATGTTTATTTTGAAAGTGGCATAAGTCACCTCGCACCTCTTGTACTTAAATAACCGTTTACTTGAATCTGGACGCGTCGGTTATTTGTTCAACTTCATCAACCAAAGAGGTTTTGTCATTAGTTTATGGCGATAGAAGATTCACACATGCATTCGATTACAAGTTAGCGGTCATTTAGGTACAAGAGGTGTGCAGTGACTTATGCCACTTTCGAGATAAAAAGTTTGAAATTTTACATTATGATGAAACCGTTAAATTATTATTTTTTTTAAATAAGTTTGGAATTTGGATATATGGTTTGATAATGAGCTATACTTTTATATAAAAATTAATAAACATTCAGCGCCGTTTTCTCAAGTAGGTTTTAGAATTTATCTGCCATTTAAACACAAATTGTGTTCTGAAAGAAATGTGTACGAAGGCAGGTAAATTTTAAAAGCTACTTGAAAAAACAGCACTAAGCAAACAAAAGAAAAATAATTCGGACTTGTGAAAGGTACATACACATGTATGTATGCAAAAATAAGACGGATGTACATCTGTATGTACATACATATTATTCTGTGGGTTTCTGTTTTAGTGCGTAGAAATCGTTTTCAAATTAAAAATTGAAATAATAAACTTTTATTCATCCGCATACCCAGGTAAACGTTACAAAGTTTTTTTTTTTGTTTTCCACAGCTACAAAATTTATACATATTAATGTTATACTATAATTTAATCCGACCTAATTTTTTGCAAGTTTTACAATTACAATAAATAGTAAATAGCGCCTACATAAAGTAAACGCCCTCTTATAAAGTAAAAAAAAAAGAAAACAGAAAAAGAAATCGTAATAAAGCAAAAGAATATACTCAGAAATATTTCACATACTTTCATATTTTCTTTACCGATTTTTATTTTGTTTTAATTTACGCTAGTCATCAGTTCAAGCTCTTTTTGTTTTTGTGGTGCTAATTTACTTCCTACAGCTTTTTCCAATTACATTTTATTTTCTTCTTTCTATTTTTTTGGGTTTTGTACATGATTCAATAATTGAATCATGGTTTTTGTAAACTTATTGACACGGAACAATTTCTTAAAATTTTATTTGTTGAGTGTTTTTTTTTTTTGCTTTTGTTTTCTTGATTTTCTATGTATGAATTATATATTACATAACTGCAAATTAAATTCTAGTGCTGTTGTTGTTGCTGCTTTTTGCTAGCCTGCCGCGTCGACTTCCGATGATGTGTTCCACCGTTCTTGTCTTGCGCCACAGCTGCCGCTGACGCGCTCATGCTCATACTTGTAGTGGGCGCATTTGTACCTTGACTCACGGTTTGTGTCGAATTTTTTCCCAGATGAGGGATCGTGAAGAGATAAATGTGCAAATGATTGCAAATCTCCACGCAAACCTGTGGAAATGTTGAAAAACAAGGTGAGATTAAGATTGAATAACATGATCAATGTGTATTGCATTATATAAACTACAAATACATGTACAGTATATTTTGCTTTGCTGCCTTTATGCTTAAGTGCACATTTAAGATACCTACCCTAAAATGCGCTTTAGCGGCATTATTTTTAACATTTATAAGGAAACTCCTCCGATAGATGCATTCAATATACCTGCGCATTGGCGAATCCAGCCTTAAAAATTGTGCAACTATTATTAACTATCAAAGAAAGTATTAGGTTTACCTGCACTGGCCCTACAATTACCTAATTTTACAAGCTTTTATTTATTTTGCTCATCTCGCAGAACAACGAAAATGTCTATCAATTAATGACATTCGGTAAAAATTTCGCTTGCGGTAATTTCTACGTAGTAAGTGCTCCTCCATTAATTGGTTTCATAGGTATTCGGATACCTTCCTCATTGAAGTAGTATTTCGCTTAAGTGCTTTTTTCGGTTAAGTGCACAAGTTTTTCGTGCAAAGAAGGATGGGCAGCTAAGCAAAATATACTGTATTATAAGTACTTTAACTTTTAAACTAGTAACTAGTGGCGCTGTTGTCGCAAAAGAACAAAGGTAAAGCATAAGACCCGAACAGAATCAACATACAGATGCTGGAAAACTATGTCTTATGGGTTTCGAGCTCATTGCAGACACGTTTCACCTGTAACTGTCCACCCTGATCATCAAAGCATCTTCAAATCCAAAGCAGGAGTCAACCGCATGAAAAATCTTCAAAGGTGCCACCACGCAGCTCTTCATAAGGGTATAGGCTACGCGACAAACGACACTGGCGGTGAAATAAACTCGCATCCTACCATCGAATCAGTTCATCATCAGGATTGCGCTATCGACTTGTTGTTGTTGTAGCGGCTACAACAACCCCACCCAGATAGGCTAATATCTCAGTCGTTGTCGTCAAGTTCCACTAAAGGCAGCCCCAAGAAGCGTGCAGCCTTTATGGGGTCGGTCCATAAGGACGACGCTGTTAGGGTTGTGGGGTTTTCCGGGCATGCGAAGAGATGTTTCGAGTTGTGGGGGGTCTCTCCGCATGCCGGACATTCGTTCGGCACATCCGCATTTAACCTACTCAGGTAGGAATTTAGCCTGCTGCAGTAGCCAGAGCGAAGTTGGGCTATTGTTGTCCTGGTCTCCCGAGGCAGATGGAGCTCCGTCGCGTCAATGTCCGGTGTTTGTGTGCCAAGAACGGCATTCACAGGTCTTGAGTCTACATAACTCGAGACTGCGTCCCTGTGAATGCCGTTCAGGGCCTGTCTGTGAGCTGACGGGTTCAGAGGTTGCTTAATGAACCTCTGGACTTCGTCCGTCAGTTCATATAGATGCCTCCTGACGTGCCTCGGCGAGGGCTCCTCTGCAAGCAGCTGTCTATTTGGGTGGCCACATCTGTGGCTCCCAGCAAGAAACTGCTTGCAGAGCATCGTGTTGTGCTCTCTAATTGGGAGCATTTTCGCCTCGTCTATCAACTTCGTCATCTCCCTCGGTTTCAGGCTTGCCGAGTAAGAGAAGGGAGAGGATATAACAGTTGCCGGCCTTAGAAAAACTGTAGACTAATGCGCCAACATGTAGACTTCCTAAACACAGAAGACAAACGACTGGTGTGCTTTGTTGAACTCGGCAAAAATCGCTTAGGGGGTTACAGTGCCCAATAAGAAGAAGTAGCTTCCCTGTAGTTAACTCTCGAGCATGGGTTATCAATTACATTTACGGACGTCAATATCGAACAATCGTTAGTGAGATTATGGAAACTCCCTTTCGCGGTGGGGAGAGCTTCGAGATATAGACATCAAGAGCAGCCCTCGCCAAAGCATGTCAGAAGGCATCTATACGAACTAGGAATGTTGTAGCCGCTACAACAACAACAACGGACGCCCTGCTTATTTTATATGGGTATTGACGTTTCATCTCGGAAAACGACCGACGATTGTCGACCACTCAGATCGTTCGGTGATTACCGTCTGACGGCCTGTGGGAGAGTGACCTGAATGTCTTCTAGTAGCGTGGAATGAAAAACGACGTCAAACGTCTTTGACTGATCCAACGTTACTGGGACTGCTCTGTTTGGCTCTGTCCATCGAAGGTACGAAATGAAATTTTCGCTCTATCATCGCGCATCTATGGCTAGGACCTTACGGTTGACCACAGTTTACCTACACCAGAGGTGAAATGGCAGGTCTTCAGGTGTTCTTGCCCCTTCCAACTATGCTATTCATATGAGCAAATGTACGCTTAGTGTTTCCTACTTAATAACATGCATATGTAGCTGTTAAATATCATATAATGAGAATTACCTTTGAGCAATAGCGTATGAGATCCTGCGTGCCCCAGATCAGCGTAAACCATAGCAACCAGATTTCCGGCAGCACACAGTTGAAGTATTGATTAAAGAATAGCAACGCTGGACCCAATTGCGACCAATCCAGATATTCCATTTCGGCTTTTGTCATGTGAGCGATCTAGCGATGAGAGAGAGAGAAAATAGTGAGAGTAGTGAAAGAGTGCAACTTAATTTTTTAAGTATTTCTTCTTTACTCACCACCAGCTTATTGGTGACTTTGGCCGCCACCATGCCAAATGCCAATATGTACAACGCTGAGTGTTCGGTGAAAATATTTTGTGGTGATTTTTGAGCAATTATCAGTGCGGGCAAAATGACCATTGTCAATGGTATGCTGGGCGAAAGTACGCTGGTACCCTTGAGGGATGCGCATGCGATAAGTAGGTGATGATTGAAAAAAAAAACAAAACGCGTATTAGAAAACGGTTAGCTAAGAGGTGCATACATAGGTATGTGTGTATGTATGTAAATATAAAACATTTAAAACAGTCACAAATCACACAAAAGACTCAAAAAGAGGTAAACAAAAAACGAAAACGTAAAGAACGGTGTCTCGACTTGCGCCTAGTGAATTGTAGTAGAAAAGTGAGACACAATACTTTCGTTGTTTGTTTACTAGCGCGCAATAATTTTTTCTGCTGAACTACATCTTTAAATACATATTTACTTTTTTTTTGTTTTAGCTGAGTTAGGACAAAATCACTGCTTATGACTTCATCTTTTGTAACTAAGGGTATTTCTTTTGTTTAGATTTTTTTAGTTTTCAACTTTTTTATTTAGCAATTACTTTTTGTATTTAAAGAAAAATACAAATTTGCTATTAAGCTTTTTTAAACTTTTTTGTGGAGCGTGAGCGGCGAGTAGTAGATATCAAATAAATTTTGTTTTGAAACAAAAGTGAAATTAATGTGAGGTTAAGAAGAGTATGTGTTTTACTGCAAACAAAAACTAAAATGGGCTTTAGGGGATACATAGTTAGGACAGAAGCCAAGAGGAATGCGATAGTGTGCAAAGAGGAAATGAATTTTATTTCTGGGAATATACCATCAAGTAATTACCAAAAAATATACATACAACTGCGTAAATAAGTTCCTAAAAAATATGCATAAATATGTGCTATGTATAATAATTTTATTTAAGTTAAGTGAATAATGACATTACAAGCACCTACATATAAGTGAGTTTAGACAAAAGATTGCTGCAGTTTCAAATAGAATAATTCTTATTTTTGTATTTTAAGAGTTTAGTTAAGCCTTTTGCATATTAAAGTGATATTCCAAATATTTTTTTTTTTTATAAAATTTACTTAGTTTTGCGTTAAAATACAATTGAAAATTGCAGCTCCCGGAAACTTGAAAAATACGGTTTTTAAAGAACGTTTTCATAGAAAAAAGACATTTGAAAACTTTTTCGTGCAAACCAGTTCATTTCTAAATATTATTTTAAAATAGTACGCCGGGTCATAATTATAAGTGCACCACATATTGACAAGTTTTAATAACTATTTTTTTATTATTTAATTTTAGTTTTTTTTCCAAAAATATAGTTTATTTTTTAACAATAACCGTATAAGTGCCAGTTTCAATCTTTGTGCAATATTTTCGAAGAAGTGTCGATTTCTTAGAGAGATTTTGTAGTCCATTCAATCTTAATGTAATAAAGTGCAAGCTTGAAATAGCTGCATTTTTGGAAACTATTTGGCTGAAGCTGTTCTTCCATATAAAAAATCGTCGACAATAGGTATTTGTATGGCAGAAAATGCACATACCGTGAGCAAAAAAATTTTTCCAAAAATAAGTTTGTTAATTTTTTTAATATTGCACAAAGTTTGAAATTTGGATTTGTACGATTTTTGTTAAAGAATAAACTATATTTTAATTGAACACAAATAGTTTGAACTTGTCAATATGTGGTGGCGCTTATAATTATGGCGCGCGGTATATTTAAAGGAAAAATTAACTATTTTTCTGCAGGCTCCATTGTCACATATTACTCTTAGTAAAAAAAAAACACACACTACATGCAACCATGTGTACAAATCATTTAAAGCTACTAGTTTTATGGAATAAAAATAATGCATGCAAAATTTTTGTAAATTACAAGTAAATATAATATTAAGGAGTACCAATTATAGTATTTATTCAAAAAAACCTAAACCATGCCAAAATCTATGAATAAAAAAGCAAAACTTTTATGAAATTATTATACCAGAATAAAATGGACAGTTACAATTGTGAACCCTTTTCGAACGAAACTGGGCAAATCTAAACAACTTAACGAAACAACTGAAGAAGCCTACTAGCAAATCGAGGTAATAATGGAACTATGACTAGATGAATGTGTATGAGAAAATGCGCTTGTTTGTATGTAGATGTTTGCATAGTGAATGGCCCTAATACGAAAAAACTAATAACTATAAAGACAACGTACGCATGAAAAAGCAATCAACAATGAAAAAAAAATTGCGTAATAAACAAACGCAGCCATTAAGGATGAAAATTGGAAAGTAAAATAAGAAATGTAATACCCGATTTAGTGCCATACAATTTTATGCCACACCCCATTTGTGTGATGGCTTAAAGCAGCACACATCAAATTAGAGAAGAAGCGTGGATGTGAGTGCCAAAACTTAAAAAAAAACATTTAGTTATCCGATTTTGGATTTTATACTTACAATAGAATTTTGATTATACATTTTTTTTTAATCCGAAATATTAACTGTGGAAATAAATAGTCAGAGTTAACACAGTTTTTGCTTAAGTTCAAAATGATTTTTTGTTTTATGAAAAGCTGCGTTTTTTTTAAATACTCCGAAATTAAAGAAAATGCTTCACTGGCATCTTGAGAATTTTTTTTTGTTTTTTTCCTTTTACATTTTATAGTTGTAACTTTTAGTTATGATTTTCTTGCAGACTCTGAAAATTCCGAATTATTCCAAAATTATATGTAAGTAATTTTGAATGACTATATTTCCATGGGCATGGCTAAGCTTGGCGTACACCCCTGAGGCTAAACTATTTTTGCAAAGCAATTTCGATATTTTTTTGCCGAACCAAAGCAATACATATATTTTTTCTTAAATAGTGTTACTACTGGAATAACCAAAATACTCCTTAGCAAAAGTATGAATGATTTTTGGAGAGCTTTGATTTACTCGCATTAAGGTGGTACACTAGGGTTATAAGAAATGAGTTCTGGTGCGTAAGTAGGTACTAGAACGGAGTACTTGAGGTCTCGAGACAAGTACATCGATAGATCATACTTTAAGATTCCACTGTAAATACCGAAGATATAACGGAAATGCAAAAGGCGATGAAAACGTTCGACTCACTCCGAATATTTATAAATGATTACGTATTCTTTTTGAACTGAATTTTTTATAAGCAATTTCGGCTCAAATTTACGTTTTTTCCGAGAAAATCCTAATCACTCCACTAAAATTTACGATCTTCTCAAACTCCGAAAATATTTGCGAATTTTCGAACTACGAGTGGTTCGAAATTTGTAGATAATATACGTAATATTCTCCGAAATTTTTATCCTCCTAAGAAATGTTGAATTAAGTTTGCAAAATCCGTGATATTCGAAACACCCGAGTCACTGAGAAGAAATTTACAAATTAAAAAACGTATGAGAGAAATTATCTGAAGTTTAATAAGCGATTTTTTAGATTTCGAAAAAAAAACTCCAAAATGGCAATAAAATGGTTTGAAGCATTTTTATAATATATATACATATATAATATCATAAATGATCTTTTGATGCTTTCAAGTTACACCCAAATTGAGAAAAATTGTAGCAATGGAGTTTTTCTCCGTGACTTTAGGCGCTCTGAATGGGGTATAACATTTCTTTTGAAAAAGAAAGAATTTTTTATACAGCAAAATAAAACAAAAATGCGTATTTACATTGAAATTTACGCAAGGTTGCACTGCACGTACGTACATAAATACAGGATATTTCAATAAGAGTTTTCGTTGAAAATTAGTTGACTAAACTCGATAAACTAGAAAATATGAAGCTTGAGAAAAGCACATTGACAATCAAGTAAAAGTAGCAAAAATTAAAATTTTTATTTTGAAAACTCTTTCTTTAAACAGCCAGTATTTAAACGAAATAAAGTGGGACGATAAAAAAAGTTCAATGGAAAAGCATATTTACAAAAAACTAATAGAAAAGTACTAATTTTACTTTATAATGAAAGAAAATAATGGAACCCGAATTTTGTTGCATCAAAGACAAATAAACAATGAATGACACCTAATAATAGCTCTTTTAGACTTGTTTAGACGAGCACTAATAGTAAATTTTAATTGAAAATTTTTAATTTTTTTTTTTGGTATTTGTTTACTACGCTTACAGCAACGGATGATCCATTTTTGCCGCATCCTTCCGTCATAATCACACGCGCGTTACGACAAATAAATAAAATGTAAATGCCGAATATAATATAAAGCGATAAAACACGCGTTTCACAGCCAAATATTGGGAGCTGTTGAGAGTGGTGAATTTGTAATTGACAAATTGGTTGTTGGTTGCGTTGGTAGTGGTGGTGGTGGTGGTGGTGGTTGGTGGTGATGATGTTCGAACGAGTCGTTTTGGATGGTTGTTGGTAGTTGAAGGAATAGGCATACATATTTTTTTTAATAAAAAAGGTACATTTTGTTAAACTTGTTTATTGTAAAACAATGGGAAAAATTAACAATAAACTAATTAATAGAATTATAAACGAAATTTGAAGTTTCTTTTTGCTAATAAAAAAAGTGACAAGAAAAACTTGAACCTAATTAAAACAAAAAACTTATTCTATTTTATTTGTGTTTGAAAAAAAAAAATCTATAGTGTATCAACCAAGTAGTTTATTATGAAATTCATTACCATTTAATTAAATAATGCCATAATTAATTCTTTCACTAAAAAATAATATGATAACAGTAATTTTAAAATTTCATAAAACTATCTATATATGTGCATATATTTTGATTCTAATGCCAATATCTACATACAATTTTACGTTGAATAATCGTTGAATTGATTGATGATTTCCTTCGAACTTTTCGCAACCAAAAGGAAAATATGCTTGCGACTTGGAACTTCACTGACTAAATACAATTTAATTACAAATTTTTAAAAACAATCATGCCACTACTAAAATTCAAAACTCTAACTAACGACGCTGACGAGCTGGCCGACCTATCATTGCGTATGTACATATGAATGTATGAAAGTATGAAAAATCTGTAAAATATACGCCTTTGAATTATGATAGAGATGCCCGATGCTTTTTTCGCCTGTAGCCATTGCAAAGCGTGTATAAGCAGGTATGCAAATTTATTTGTTGGTTTCCCAAAATTATTTCAAAACGGAAGCTATGACAAAGCGCAGGTGCATAAACTGAAGCGGTAATCAACATGAACTTTTTCAGCTATTTAGTAAAAAACTTACATTGTAACTCAAGTTAAAAAAAATATTTTAAATTTTTTATTTCAATGAAACATGTACATTAGACTGCATCACTCCCCATCAAAAAAAAAATCGGTACTGTGTTTCCATTGGAATTGTAAAAATCTATTACATTTTAAGACTTACACGAAAATATTTCGGAAAAATATTAAGATTTACGTGAGCTGGACCGATTTGAAAATACCTCCAAAAATGTAGTTTTTTATGGATAAAAACAGTTTCTTAACGCATTTTTTTTTAAATCCCTCCAGATGACAAAACAGTTTAAGCTTAAAAAATTTGCAAAAATATTAAAAAAAATCATTTGAACGGACGCGTAATCAGATTTTTTATGCTGTTTTTTTTTTACTTTTTCAAAGATTGATATTAGAAAAACTTGAATAACTGGACCAAAACTATTCCGATTTAGACTTGCTAGGTATCATTGGAAAGGTATTTTCTCACCCTTTTTCTTTCTTAAACTAATCTTTGAAAGAAGTTAAAAAAACAGCATCAAAAATCTCATTATATTCCGTGGAAATTTTTTTATTTTTATTTTTCTGCAGATTTTTTTTAAGCTTAAACTGGTTTGTCATCCGAGGTGATTTTTTTCAAATAGTTCTTTAAGAATCTATTTTTATTCATAAAAAACTAAATTTTTGGTGGTATTTTCAAATCGGTCCAGCTCACGCAGATCTTAATATTTTTTCGAAATATTTTGGTAGACGTCTTTAAATATGTACCTATAATAAAGTTTTTAATTCCGGTGGAAAACCGCAAATTTCTTTGGTGATGCACAATGGTCTTTGGTAATGTACATAGCTACTTTTTACACGGATTTTTTAATGCTTAAAAAATAATTAGTAAGCAACTTTTACTATTATTATTATTGAAGAATTAATTTAAGTAAATTTTTTCCGATATTTTTTGCTGATAATAAACTTTAATCTTTTTTAAGCAAATCAATGAAAATTAGTCATTAAACTCGATTTTTAGGGACACGGAAATGACTCCGAAATTTTTTGTTTAACTCTTCAGTCATATAATTATTTCCTAAAAAATTAGTTTGTCCAATACAACAGTCAATGGCTCCGAAAATATTCCTACATTGATATTTTCAAATAGGCACCAACATTTTTTAATTTAAAATAATTTATTTAGGGCTCAAATTGTAAATATGTATTGTTTTTTAAAAGCCAATTTCATTTGAAAAAATATATAACAATTAGCAATGATTTCTTATTATTGTTCGATAATCATTCAAGGGTTTTCTGTTGCAGGATTATTTCCGATAACTGTACTCTTCTGAGTGATAAGGCCTACAATAACTACAACCATAAGAGTGATTCTTGAGTTCTACACATTTACAATATTGTATTTAACAAAATGATACTATCACATGTTGATTACCCATACCGCTGGGCCGTGTTATGCAACTGCCAACTAAAAGAAGATAATGGTATTACATATGTATATGTATGTATTATGGCCAAATCAAGAGTGAAAGTCTGATCACATAATCTTTTAAGAAGAGAAAAAATCGAATATATCACTGTTAAAATGCACTTATCGGTTAGTGGTGATAAACAAAGCGTTACGAGTAGATAATAAAATTGATGGTGCTTTTACAACAACAAAACACCATTATGACGGCCAGGTGTTTACAAGTATTTGCTATACTTCAGAATTAGCGCATTTTTAAATTAGTTAGAAGTATTAACAAGAGGCTTTTAAGTGCTTTAGTCACTAGTGAATGAATGATTTTTTGTTTTTACAAAATAAAAGGGACAAGGTTTAAGGTTTGGTTTGTTTTTTTTTGTTTTTGAATTTTGTTTTTGTTTGTTTTATGCTTACAGCAACGGAGGAACCATTCTTGCCACTGCCGCCTTCGACAAACATTTTCGAAAAGTTGATCATATTCACGAGATAACCCAAAGTAATGCCGATTAAAATGATATAATTCCAACGACCGCCAATCAGGGGAATCTAAAGTGTGTGTAGACGTAGGTACATAGTGTGTTGGATAATTTTTTATATTTTGTTGCGATTTCGATTTTTTGTTTTGGCACACCGAAAAAGAAAATCGTGAAAAGAAGAGAAAAAAGATAGTGTAATAATTTAGTTTCATATAAAATCGGATTTTTTTTTAATATTGTCTTAGCACAGAGGCTGGCCGCAACACAGTGGCGCCAGTGTTTGTGAGCTCGAAGAAAGCTGTAAAAATTAAAAATATTTTAAGAAGGAAATGTCGGATATAGAGAAATGAAAATTACGGTAAAGGTAGATAAGTAGAACAAATGCCATCAAATGAGAAACCAAAAACCGTTTAGTTAAAGTGCGTACTAGGTGTTAAAATTGTTAGATTAGAAATAATAGTAATAATTTAACAAAAGATAAATCTCTTTTATTTGTATATTGCAAGCCTGTTCTGAAAATTGTACAATTTGAAAAGTACATATTTTTTTAATATTCGTAATGCAAATGGAAACTGCTAAAAACACATTTACATACATATGCATTTTTTTACAAGTAAGAACCATCGAAAGCCAAACTGCGTCAATGTGGGACCTTATGTGAAAATTGGGTCAAATTGAGTTAATAATGCAGTTATACAAAATTACTTAATCAAGATCTTGATCTTCTAAAAGACGTCATTCGTTTTTGGATATCTCCTTTATTTTCCGAGATATTAGGTCAAATTTTGTCGTTAAATTGGGTCAAATTGAGTTAATAACGCAATTATACTCAATTCAAATGGCGTTATCCATTTTTGCATATCTTCTTTATTTTGTCTCCCAGATATTTAGTGAAATTACGTCGTTAATTTAGTACAAATTTTTATCACATTTTTGTCGTACAACACACCTGCAAATTGTTTCCAAATCTAACACACGACAAAATTCTGCTAAAGAAAATCCTTCATAAACTCAAAAATAATCAATAATAAACAATAAAAACAAAATAGTAACATACTCTGAAACGTTGGAGAAAATTGAAAGTCGCGTATTTAATAAGAAATTGAATTCCAAACTTGAATCACGATTTCTCAAAATTCGTCTAATGTAAAGGACAAAATTCCGGGCGATTATTTGTACAATATAATACATACATAGATGCATTAAATGAAGAGGAACTCAACATTCTTTACACACATACATACATTCTAAACAAAATATGTAAAAATATGTTACAAAAAAAAAGTTTCTCAACTTTCTTATATGTAACTCCGAAAATGCTCCGTAGATTGTCAATACTACTTGATGAATTAAACTTTTGGTATTGGATTTTAGTAACTCCGAAAAACGATGCGAATTCTCATTAAAACTAATTGAATTAAATTTCTTAGTAAGTCAAAAATATGCTCCGAAAATATTAGCAGATCTAAGAAAATTATGTAATTAACATTATTGTTCAAACGATTGAAGAGCGACGTTTTTAGTGACTCCGAAAGTACTCCGAAAAAATCTGGTAATACTACCTACTTGATGAATTAAATTTTTGGTATTGAACGCAATGTTTTTAGGAACTCCGAAAACGGTGTGAAATTTCATAAAAACTGGTTGAATTAAATTTCTTAGTTAATCCAAAATATACTCCGAAAATATTAGCACACCTAAGAAAATAATGTAATTGACATTATTGTACAAATTATTAATTGCAACGTGCAACGTAGATTGCTATACTCCGAAAATATTAGTAGACCTACGAAAATAATAATAAACTTTTTATAGAATACAAAATATACTCCGAATTAGAACATCTACGATAATAATGCAATGAACAGATTCAAGACTTAATTTATTTTTTATGACGCCGATACTACTCCGATTTTTTGTTTAGTTTGACAATTTGTACTTTTTGCCTCGTAACTAAGTAAGTCTCCTGAACTTACTGTTTATTTACGAAGCATATACGCGTTTATATGAATACCCATATGACCGGGCCTTATGAAAAAAAAACTAAGCAATTGCTTTTTATGTTGGTGTTGGTTGATTTTTCCGACCGGGTGCTAAGCTGATTTACTTTGGAAGGGATTTCCGTCTTTCCTTGTCAAGCTTGCTTTTTCTTAAAATTTCAGACATTTTACTCGATTCTTTCAGATAAATTTAAGTAAAAGGTCTGAAATTTTAAGAAAAAGGAATTGCAAAGTTTTTATTCATAAGGCCCAACGTTTTTAAGTTAGATAAATCTAATCACTGTCAATTAAATCGTCAACTCATTAAAAAAATTATAATAATATAAATTAAGACACTTTCATTTGGATTCTAAATGCGATAAGACCCCAATTTGAAAGTTTATATAAGAGGAAAAAATTAGTTTGTCTGCCGCCTTCAAGTATGCTACCTATTATGGAATTCTGATGATAAAGTCGTCACAGAGAACATTTTTGGTGAAAATGTCACACGAGATTTACAGAAATGGTAAATTAAAAAACATAAAAAATATTGGCAACTAAAAGTGGCAAAGTAAAATGTAACCTTGACCCATAGAAAACAGCATACATTAATTTAAATATAAAACAATAAAAAGCGCACAATATAATAAAGAAAATACATACTTAGGTAGAAGATTAAGACAAAAATACATGTATGAATACATTATTAAACAGGCAATAAAAGTGTAAAAAATTTATAAAAATTCATCGATGAGTAGTAAGAATAAAAACTTCGCCATGGAGTACCCAAGAAACTGTAAGTCATTGATTACGTGATTGCTACATATCGCTCCTATGCATGAATAACGTCACAACTCAAAAAACATGAAAGTAGAGAAAACGCGTTTGAAGTTTACAGTTTACATACGCTCCCAGAGTAAAAATTAAGACATATTTTCTTCTAATAAGTTATAATATAATCGATACAGCTATGAAATTTGTACACTACATAGAAGAGGTGGCGGTTATTTCTGTACGCTTATTCGTGCAAAGAAGCGATATGTAAGTGCTGCTTTCCAGAATGCTACTTTGTATTGAAACTAATTTTTAAAACAAAATTATTCGCACCGATACAACTGCATGCATGTAGATTCCTTCAATCATATTTGATGGTTATTTTATAATTTTTAATAAGAATTTTTGCATATTCGATAGTTTAATATGGTAGCAACGATATGTACATATGTATTCTACGTTTGAACGTTATGTCGAATTTCCACTAGTCATTGGATAGACAAACAAAATTTGTAGCCTTTCAAAAATTTTTCTTATACACTTCACATGCCTTGTTGGGTGTGTTTTAAATTTAAATTCTTTTACTGCTCATCGATTACAATTGTGTGTGTTGTTTGTTTTCTAATATAAACCAACTCAATAAATAAGTATACATTAATACAATACAATATTAATAAATACAAAAATGTTAATGTCAACGCATGTACTTCGTTTAAATAGGATATATTTTGTATGTACTCTTAATGTATTTAGAGGTTGTATATATTTTAATCTAGTTTGGTTGCCATCATAAGTTCTCTTGGTTATCGCATTCTCTCAGCTAAGTCTTTCAAAATATTTATTAACAGAATATTTCTAGTTAATTTATAGGGGCAAACATACGTCAGCAAGGAAAAAGTGTAAGCTTAAAGCCAGATTTGTGGAATAAATCAAAGAAAAAGAAAATTCTATAGCAAAATATGTAAGTAGGGAAAGATTAATGGAAAAAATATTTTTAAGGGGAAATTGATAGGTTCAAATATTTTTTATAAAATTTCGCAGGGGGTTTTCAAGGTTTGGAGTGGTCTTAGAAAGTTAGTTATGTTTCGAAATTTTTTGGGCTTTTGTGTATGTACTAGATATTGAATTTGAGTATCGATTTTTTTTTAATTAAAAAAGAGAATAGTTTACGCGAACCTTTATTTTATTTATGAATGGAGAACCAAATTCTGCACCAATTGCAGGCTCCGAAAATATTTGACCCGAGGCAAAGCTTTTATAAGCTTTAAACTTAGCGCAGAAAAATTGTTTTTTTTTTTTTGAATTGGCGGAGACAACGTTTCGACGTGTTCTGAAAGTTGTTTATGTTCCGAAAAACCAATATTGTTTTGCTTTAGCAAATAATGAAAAGTTGCGAGAAATTTGGCGGTTTTTCTAGTTTTTAGCATTTATGCAGACTCCGAGAATAAAAAAAAAAACAAATTGCTCCAAGTTCCAAAAAATAGTTTTTTCGTATATCTTTCTGACAACAATACAACTTAAAAATTACATTATTTTATTCAATTTATAAATGCAATAAAAACATTAAATACACTGCAAATCAAATGAAAGGGTTCTCATAAAAGAAAGTTCATACAATTTTAAAATTTAATGCAGCAAATAGCATATCAAAGATAGGGACAAAATTTTAATATTTAAAATTTATTACTGGAATTTGTATAACAAAGTGGCACCGAAACGGCCATGCTACAAATAAAAGTTGTATGATTTTTTTTTAACGTCAATGAGCGTTCATTTTCGTATTTATTTAAAAAAAATTTTATCATTATAAGTCCGCATTTGAATTAAGAAAATTTAAATAGTTTTATTTTTTCATAAATTTGATTGCCAAATTTTTATATTTTATACAAACTATCCCTTTTTTCAGTACCTTCCAGTACCTGGATTTCTATCTCTTACTACTTTTTGTAACACTCATAAGTTTTTATGTTAAACTTTTATTTTCTTATTTAAAATTTTCAATGCAAACTTACTGCAACTGTGGAGCCATTCTTGCCAACACCGCCAGCCAAAACAACTGAGAATATAAACCATAATGACCAAATACCACAAACTAAGGTCATTAGCGATAGGATGGACCACAATTCAAAATTACCAAACATCTAAAGGGTATATATTTATAGTAAATTTATTATATACATACGTATGTAAGATAGCGTTGAGTTTAATACGAAATTTATACATAATGGCGTTTTATATAAAAAAAACTATATGCCGATGTAATTTTACCGAGTCAATTTTTGAACCTGAATACCTTATATAAATTTTACATATCAGACGTTAGCCACATACATAACCTACTAAAATTATTCGATTATGATTTTTCACAATTTGAAAAAAAAAAAAAAAGATTTCCTTTTGCAATACTGATGAGATAATAAAAAATTATACTTTAGATGCCAACCACGTAAAAATATTTAGGTTTACTTTGTCATTTTTACACTAAAATGCATTTGAAAAAAATATTAATCACTAAAAACCATAAGCTTAAAAAAGTGTAAAGTATACACGTAAAATAAAAAGAAACTTCAATTTGTATATTAATATAGCATTACCTAAAAATAATAAAAAAGTGTAAAAATCAGGGTGGCGCAGGTTTAAATGCGTCAAGTGTCAATCTTTAATTAATACAATTTTTCTTAAATATGGCAGAAATCTAAATTACTCCGCAAGCTATATTTTGTATTAAATTATGAATTTGAACAATTTTTTGAATTTTCGGAGCAACTTCGACAACCAGTAAAAATTTAATTTTTACTCCGAAAACTCATTTATAACGAAAACAAGACTGTATGTATAGAAAAAACCTCAACAATGCTTGTAATTTGGAAATTTTAAAGCCATTATATAACATTTTTCCTATAGGTTTTTGTTTAAACGTTTACTTTTTTTACTTTTCCAACTTCAAAAATGACAATTCGCAGTTCCGAAAATTGTTATTATGATTGTTATTAAATTAAAATTGAAAAGTCAATTACAATTTTTTTCGATCTACGCCGAATCTATAACACAAAGGTCAGTTGATTTACTAATCTGCATGAATTTAACTTAGGACAATCTAATTTAGTTTACGATATCCCGAAATTATTCCGAAAAACTCCGAATATATCAAAAATTCAACGATGTTTGCAATTTAGACAAAATCGAAATTTTAAGGCCGTTATGCCATTGGACGTCGATGCGTGAATTGGTTATGATTCAGTTAATTTCGATTAACTTTTTATGCCTCTAACCTTGTACTTTTTAACTTCGAAAAATAAATTTTTTGTTTGTGAATAAAGAAATAATGTATGCTTGAGTAGTACGTTAATCTTTTTAAACGACACTTGACGCATCTGTACCTGCATCCCCGGCACAAAGTATCCTAAATTGCAAAAATAGGAGTAAATCGTAACAAAATAAACAAAACCGTACCCGCGATTGCCACACATCCGGACCGAATACGGCCGATATAACATGTATAGCCATGATGGTGAATTGCGCCTCGGTCACATCGATTTTGCCAAACCGCAAAGTACCCGAAACGTATGTCTGCCAATGAGCGCAATAGAACAACGCAATGGCACAGAAGCACTACAAGATGGAAAGAGAGCGTAAAATTTTAAGGACAAAACAAAAATGAAATACAAAAAAAAAACATACGCACCTGAAAGAATAACCAATTTGGATATTGTCCCAACTGGCAGGATATGCACGCCGAAAGCGCCACGAAAACGGTCGAAATCGAATCGCAACCATGATCGAAAAGCTCACCCAATGGTGATGAGGTATTTGTGCGACGCGCCTGCTTACCATCAATCGAATCTAAACTCTGATAGATGAATAGGCCAAACGCGCAGAGTAGGCTAGTCCAGGCGGGTGGCGGCGACTTGGCATCGGGACTATATCTGTTGGTAGGGGAAAAGTAGAATCGATTTAGGAAATTAAATATTAAAATATACATACATATATTTAACATGTTTACAGAAACTAAAAATGGTTACAGGAAGAGACTAAAATTAAAAATGACCATTAAATAAGCATCAAGATTTTTATTTTTAGATTTTAGTTTTTCTGATAAAAAAATAATAATTGTTAACTTCGTATTTTTAATATTTCGTGCAAATTTAGTCGTTATATTGTGATTTTTAATTTTTCTATAAAAAATAATCTTCTTTTTTGATTTTTATTTTTTCGATAACTTTTAACTGCTATTATGGGGTTGTGTTTTCATGACAGTTTTAAATCTTTTATGATCTAAACAATTTAATTTGAAAATAACGGTTATGGTATGATTGAAAAAGTAAAAATCACAAAATGTTGAATAAATTTTACCCAAAAAATAAAAAATAACAAATAACCATTAACCATTAAGTTTTAACGAAATAATATGAATCTAAATTAATAACCGATACGGGCCCTGCATTTTTATATGTCTGCACATACATGTATGTGAGTAAATTCTTGTAATGAATCGTTTGTTATAGATATGGAAGGACTAAGCCTTATAACGGCGCTTTTCTTAAAATTTATGTTACGAGCAAAGAATTAACGCCACCTCAAATAACTCTAGATACATATTTGAGTAATGAGAAGGAACATTTTTCTGGTTTCCTCTGGTTGTATTTTATTACAAAAAAAAAAAAAAAAAAAAAAACATGAGACTATAGCAATTTGCAACTCAAAACCAAAAATATTTTTTTTGTTTTAAAGTTCAATTCTCTAGTCACTTCCTTTAGATCGATTATACACTTGCATTTGTATGTAAACAGAAGATTTGCGGCTGCATACGTACATATACATACAAATGTATGTATATAGATATACACTCACGGCAAAATGTATTGGCACAGCGATTTGTTTACAATATATCGAGGGCTGAATGGAAGATCGACCTATTTCAAAATTTGGTTGAAGAACGCCCTATCTGAATATATTTTCAATATATTTTGTTCGACAATAATAACACCGTCAGCAAAAAAAAAAAATCCAAAAATCAAAGCGATTTTTTATAAACTTCAAACTCACTATGCTATATATACTAAAATGGATTGCGCTAAAATACTGCACACTAAGAATTTTTCTAAAAAATCTGATTTGAAAGTTGCAAATTAGTACGGAAATTTACTGAATTTTCCTGAGTTTTGCACACAGTTATAGCTGAAATACAATGCCGGCGAACGGCGAACTTACCACAGCGAAATTCGCGCTGTCAAAATTAGAACACCCGCAAGCATATGAAATAGAACACAGCCAAAGCGAAATGCGAAGTTCGCTTGGCGGCGTTTCATGGCGATAGATTTATTTCTATCGCCCTGCTGGGCGATGACAGCTGTGCGTGCCAAAGGTGGCCGTATTTGTTTTTTGCTTTCAAAGTTTTAAATGAAAACAACCTAAGCACGATTTTTTTTTGTTGTTTGAAAAATATAGTTGTGGATTCGTTAAATCTGGCTTGAAACAAATTATTTATAATAATCTTTCTTGGTTTTACATTTATATTTGTTATCATTTCCTCATTTCTAAATATGGTCACCCAAATTATAAAGGCGACCAAATGGGATCAGCTGTTTTCGCTACCGCTCTAATTCTGTTTAAGTAGGCGAAATAGCTGGGCGAACGGTGAACGACAGCATCGCCCAATTCGGCGAAGTTTGCCGTTCGCCGGTATTGTATTTCAAGCATAAAGAGATTTTATTTTTATGTTTTTTGTTGTAGTATGAACTATATTTTAAAAAAAAATTGCGAAAAGAAATTAGAATAAAAAACTTTGCATGCATTGCGAAAAATTCTCTGTGCCAATACTTTTGTCCGGTACTATATGTATTTATGCGAAATATTCCCCACAGTGATGTTACAACAAATCGCGAGCACTCCAACTGTATGCCTACTCAGTACTTGGGTTGCAAAGTCGTGAACATTTACTTGTAAATATTTGCACGAATATAATTTTTGTAGTCATTTGAATCCAGCAATGGAATTTTACAGATATTTAATTAATTTTTTTTCTATTATTTTTTTTCGAAAATAAAAAATTGATTCATTATATTTTTTTGTGGGATAAATTTAAGTCCATTTTAAATTTTTTTCAATTTGGTCGTTGTATGTACGAGGGCAGTTTGATAAATCAGTGAGTTCTCGAATAAAAGTATTATCCTTTCGCTCGATATAGTACGTTCATATTTAATTAATCCTTTCGACAACTATTTTATTGCTTAATAAGTTACAGCAAGGTCCTTAAAATCGGCGGTGGTTTTAGTGATGGTCTCTTCATTGGACGTGCTGAATTTCCACGAGCTACGCCACTATAACCCGGGGAAACAACGAAAATGGAAACCTCGTCGTGGATCAGGTAAACGACTAGACTTTCTGTACCCTACATTAAGATTACCGAAACTATTGAAAAGCTATTTCTAGTGTTACCATCATTAACTGTACTGCTTAAGAGCTTCTATAAATGAGAGAATTAGTGCTCTAGTCTCACCAATAGACGGCCGATAAGCTGAACGTAACTACCGCAAGATCATGAAAATAGCACTTGACCAACACGTCAAAGATGCAGTGACGTTTAACAGCCCAACCACTTATGACTGCGGCAAGTGCGCAAAAACACACAGCAGGCAATCATAGCGCAAATTCTCAAAAACAAGACTAAAGCGCACCAAAATAGCCAGAACGAAACATTATCATCATTCCCCCGGCCAAGGAGTTCAGTTTGTCATAATAAAGGGCAATGCAATGCCGGTCTGACGCTCAATAATCTAAACCCACCAGTAGTCGGGTATCTTACGCCAACTTCAACTTGTCTCTGGCCACACGCTGCATATCAGAGATTACGAAGCAAGACAAAGTGATACCCATTTTCAAGCTAGGGAAAAGTGTGGAACTAGGTGACTTATACAGTCCGATCAACATACGAATATTCTCCACGGTGGCGAAAACGCTCGAGTCTTTTTCTCCTCCTATCAAAAGGCACCTTACATCAGCATGTATAATGCGAGATGCACATCATCGGTGCACTGAATGCCATAACGCCACAGATATAGAACTACAGTTATAGTATAGGACGGAAATTATTATGTTTGGCCTTCAGCCGCTCCGTTTTTCAGACCCTCTTCCGTTCTATACAGCTCGTTTAAAGCTTGTAGATCGAATGTAGAAGATAGAGTTCCACAAGACTGCGCAACAGAAACAAGTAACTAGCGGAAAGCCGTTGAGGAAACAACCTTACTGGCCACAAACAAATCCATCGGTCGGGCCCACACTGCCAAAACGCCACTTTCCAAACCGCTAATTCATGACGTCATTCCCAGTACCACCGTCACCCAGAGGCAAAAATGTGTCTGTCTAAGCAGTTTCGTTTGACTATTAAGACTACACCACTTCAACCATAATCTAATAAGCAGAAAGCTACCGCCAGCCAAGTTGGGAGTCATCTCAGTCAACATGAAGGAGACAAAGCTCAACATGCACAAAACGAGCTGCTGATTTTTAATCTTCGGTTGAGAATATTCCGACAAGTCCCCTTCGTTTGCCACTTGTCCGTAAAACCTTGAACAAATGGATGTGTCAAGTCCCCGCAGTTTGAAAATCTGGATATGTACTCAAGGACGCCACAAAAATATGATGCCCTAATCCAATACAAATGCATAGGACATAAAAGTATGAAACAATCAGAATCGTAAAATTTTGCACTCAACGACCTGTTGCGAAACGTTTCCGTTACAAAAAGCAGTAAGCTGCTGAAACTGTTTTACGATGATAAATAGGTTAATGTGCCATTTCAACACTAGCATGCAACGCCAATGCCAACGGCAGCATTGACATCTACATTAACATAAGCCGCTGCGAACGGCGATGACAAGTATTTCTGTCAGTGCGCGCTAAAAGCAAATGCGAACATTGACAGCAACTCTCGCACAGAGCCACAAGCAGAACAAAACAAAAAGCTGTAAAAATAAAAATTAATAAAAAGAAAAAAAGCTAGTCTCCACCTTTTTTTCTTTCAAGCATTTTTAATTAACCATAAACACAAAGCATGTGTTGGTAGGTGGTGCGAAAAGCCGGCAAAAACTAAAACACAAATTCGTCATAAGCCGCGACTAAAAAGTACATGCAATTGTAGTTTAAATGACTACTCATGTGCAGCGTTAGACGATAAATTGCGCAGCGCGAAATGCCAACAGCGGCGCAGTGGGAGTGGTGCCGGTTGGGAAAAGTGCAAAGTGCAGACTGCCAGGTAATTTAGCAATGAAGAATGAAATATTTCTCATTTATACTGATTTAGTTACTTAAATGATAGTAATAAATTGTAAGCATGTACATTAGGGCGGGTCAGCTTTTTTGACTATGCGCTTATTGCATAGGAGCATTCTATGTGTAATTCTAATCAACACCCGAAGAAACCATCCTAAAATCTATTTGGAATTTGCCAAATCGCGAAAATAGGTTTCGAAGAAAATAGCAAAATTTTCACTATTGCACCCTTTAGTTGAAGTTTTAAGAAACAGATAAGTGCAGAAATGTATTCTACGTACCAAAAACCCCCTACAGCACTTCTTGACGACACTACAGAAAAATGTTAAGAAACCTATGTTCGCAATTTGGCAAATTCCAAATGATTGATTTTATACCCATGGTTTCTTCGGCAAATTTGCTTAGAATTACACGTAGAATACTTTTGTGCTATACGCGCATAGTCGAAAAAATTTTCCATACAAATTGATCCGCCTTAATGTACATATGTAGTAACTGCAAGGCACTGGGAAGTATTCACTGAACTCACTGTTTAATTTTACAGATTCGAATGTGAAATCCTGCTTAAGCGGGCATAATAAGCAACTTATCTGCAAACAGCGAAAGCGAAAACCTCCTCAGTAAAGCTAAAGGTACTTATTTAATCCATAAAGCG